CTATGTTAAATTCCGTCCCAAGCTGATTTGGGCTTAATACGCGGCTGGGCCTTTTAAATGTGGGCTTAATAACCGGCGACTACTGTAAACAACAGGAAGTATTTTGCGTATCGAAATAATTGGTTCAGGAATAAATGTGAACCTTCTCGTTCCAGATGTTTGCATGAGTAAAGTAGAACACTGGTCGAGCAGCGGAACAGTTTGTTTACTGTTCCCAGCTTTCCAACTCTTACAGGACTTCATCAGCAGAGATAACAGCAACAACAAAAAATGGAGTGTAAACCAATCAACTATCAGTGACGCACGCCTAGAGGTGACTGCACAGGGCTCTGTACGTCGGCGCAAAATCGATAAATCGATTTATTTAGTTCCCATCCGTGAACCAACCGCACCCCATGCCTAAGCTGTCCTTGTAACTACACAGATCAAACTGAACGCATGCTCGAATCGCGCATATATCCTGACGGCGGCAACGGATTATCACCCGTTGCTGCTCACACCTACGAGACGGGCCATGACTTCAAGTTCACAGCTGCCAAGATACTCGCCTACGTCGAGAACAAGACGAGCCGAGAATTGATTGAAACCTGGTTCACGGATGGGTATTTAATTAATCCATGTACCGAATCCGCGCTGGCGTACGAAGCCCTGCACAGTCACCGCCGGAAATGCATCCTTGATAGTTGATTTGTTTACACTCCCTATAACCGAGCCCCCGTTTTTTTTACTGTTGTTATCTCTGCTGATAAAGCTCAGAACAATAAACAAACAGTTTCGGTTTTCAACCAGCCTACCTTCACACAATCGTGCTAGTCCACGTAATTACAGTTAGTCTGGTTGATAATCTGACGCACAGTCTTTTGAAACTGACTTATTACTATCAGGTACAGCTGACGTAGTGGGTATCGTTTTCAGTGGCTGTGTCGGATAAAAGCGCACGTATTATCAAGTTCGAAGCTGGTCTTGTGCAGGAATTAGCTGTTGATGTGAGAGTCGATCAGGGGACTGACGGGTTGTACTTCCATGTGTGGCGACTATGAAGTTTGACACCAAGAAATGCGCCGCAGTTAACCTTAAACGACACTTCGCAGGAATGATTAAACACCTAGGCCCTGTGCCATGACCGAGTTGTTAGGACGGCACAGAACGTGAGTCTACATTCTTACCATCCTGGCGTCAGGATGACAAAGAAACCCCCACACATGAAAGTGCGCAGACACAATGGCCTACACGCACGCGTAACAGCGCCGCCAGGTTGCTTGACCCTGAGGAGACCAACATCACACGATGGCTGCTCGGACACGCCGCTCGCGCATGGACCAATAAGAAGAGACAAAGTGGACAAAGGCTGCTTGTCTTTAAATACGATGCCGCGGACAGAAGGCGGGACTTATTGCAGACGGAGCGAACGTGACGCACATGCAGACAACTTGACGGACAGGCAAACAAGTTGAGACACACGCGGAGAAACTGATGTACACACAGAGCCTGTTGTAGTTAACTTGTTCTCTGCTATCCTGTCTGCCTTCTATTCCACAAATACAACAGGGAGACACAACACAGATTAAAAGGACCGGAGCAGGGATAATGCACAGGTGGTTGGCGTGGTCGGAACCGCCCTCAAACGTGGTATCACACTGGCCACAGCAAGGAGCCATAGCAGTCAGCCTCTCAGCCCATTAGTCAATTATTTCGAACACAGCCACATATTTCAGCTGTGCAGTCACTTATTTACATTGATTACATTGATTTGATTGACTTTATCCTTTCACGACTATTTGCTTGTCAAATGCAATCACGCAAGCAATTTCTTTTTCAAGGCATCTTATCTATTTGTGCCTTTTCTTCGACCGTTTCTGTAGTCCATAAGGAGTTAAGCAGCGTTCGCCCATCCGTCCCTTCATTAAGCGAAGCTGAAATAAAATCACCCTAGTTTGAGATTCTTTCAAACAGAAAGCAAAACGCTGCATAAATATGCGGACTAATTAGCGGCTGAAAAAATTGAGGCAAGACCTGACGACGTCCTGAATTGCCGTCGTATGCACACTTCTGCCGTAAATATCGCGTGTACTTATTTGAGTTTCGTTCAAAGTAAGAAAAGGATGGATTTATGTGCGTACATGTCGCCGAACTAAAACTATTTTTACTTAGAAAGTTCTGCAAAAGGGCAACTAAACAGGCTTGATTGCTTTCGCGCGTAGTACATGGCGTGAAACTAATTTGCAGCACTCACCTGGCCTCATGTTGTTTCATTAAGAGGGCCTGGCGTGTGCTCTCCAACTGCTTCACCTCATCAGTCAGGCCATATTGGGGCCCATCTCTGCAAAGGTCAACGCCCGGTCGATAGGTTCGCCGTTCAAGACGAGTCTGTGCCACTTTTGTCGGTGGGATTTGGTCCATTAGCTCCTGCTCCAGTATTTCCAGGTCGTTTAGCATGTCAGCAATCTCGTCCTCGGTCTAGTTATCAGAAATTGCAAAAAAATAGTCAGTTTACTACACACTTGTTAAGAGAAGCATCTCTGGATTATTTAACTAACCCCTAAAAATAGAATTACAGTGGAATTTTTCCTAAAGCATTCCCAAGTAAGCCCACCGTACTTTCCTAAGTCAAAACACATCTTCAAGGATGAAAAACAACATTTCTACTGATATTGTGTCAGTAGGTTGTAGATATACTGTTCGTGTGGAACATATAAGAGGAAAAAGCAAGACGTACCAAATTATCGGGGAGATTGTCGAAGCTTTAAAATAAGAGATCGAAAAGGCTTCAACGTAGTAAAGACCTAATTTACTGGAAGTATGCGCGTACGGATGGCGGAAAGCAGGCAATTATTCCGAATGGTTCGAGTCTGTGGAAATCGATACCTATGTGCATCTATTCGTTCACCTGTTCCTGTGGAGCGGGCTATATTGGC